TATTCTCATGAATATTGAACACAACAACCTCTGAACATTACAAATATTCGCCTCAATTCAACCTGGAACCTCTCTCATACAATAATACAATACTGTGTGTGTGTGTGTGTGTGTGTGTGTGTGTGTGTGTGTGTGTGTGTGTGTGTGTGTGTGTGTGTGTGTGTGTGTGTGTGTGTGTGTGTGTGTGTGTGTGTGTGTGTGTGTGTGTGTGTGTGTGTGTGTGTGTGTGTGTGTGTGTGTGTGTGTGTGTGTGTGTGTGTGTGTGTGTGTGTGTGTGTGTGTGTGTGTGTGTGTGTGTGTGTGTGTGTGTGTGTGTGTGTGTGTGTGTGTGTGTGTGTGTGTGTGTGTGTGGACACTGTGATGGATCGTTGGAGCTATGTGCAGCTCAAGGCATATATGCTCGAACGGGAGCTGCCTGGACGCTGCAATCATGTTGCGCGCACTATCCGTGCTGAGTGTGCTGACTTTTCGTACAATGTCCCACTGTCTGGCTACCTGCATCAAGTCAAGTGCTCGGCGCAGTTGTCGGCGAAATGTCGCTCCTCTGTTTTCATTTGAAACTGCTCCTTATATCCGTTAGCGCAGCTAGCTAGCACCAGATGCTAACAACAACAACAACAACAACAACACGTAAGGTGTGCCTCGCTCGCCCCACACATACACACACCCTCCCGGTCCTCCCGATGGCCAGTCCGGGCCTGCCGGTGAGCGTGGAAGTGTGGTCTGCCACAAGCGGGCGGCAGGAGCGGGGCTGTCAGCATCAGCTTGTAGATGGTATTTTAAACTCGATGCGCTCTGAAACTACGGCGGCCGAGGACAAAAAATACACATGCGTTAATCGCGTTAATCTTTTTTTGCGTTAACGCGTTATTAACGCGTTAACTTGACAGCCCTATTTTTTATTAAAGCAAAAGACACTATGTAGCGGAGGTTAATGTTACGTTAGTTTAATATGCTCGTGAAATGCAACAAGTTTTCGGTTTCACCGGTAGGATTTCTACGCTCTTGGTGATGCTGACTCATATGACTCAAAGGACTCGTATGATGGTTACTTTGGTTGGTTATTGGCTAATGGTTGCCCATAAAGAGGCCAAAATCTGATCAGCCCATTTTCAGACATGTTTTTATATAAATGGATCAGGACAAAAAGTGAGTGAATCTTTGTTCCTGAAACTTTCAGAATCTCTTTACACAGAGGGGACACATGTTTATGTATAAAAGACATGAAAAAGTGGATTTTGCATAATAGGTGACCTTTAAAGTATATGAAACTATCAATGTGCATTTTGCTACAATGAATAGTGTCTCTTTGTTTCTCTGTCTGTTGCTGTTTTGCCTTATCTTTGCAAGTTTAACCAAATGAGTGTTGCAGTGATGATATATTTTTGTAGGCCGACCCGGAAGCTAGCATCGCAAGGGCTCCCTTGACAAAAAGCGATGGGATTTCCTCATTGGTTTTTCGGTATATTGCAGAAAATAAGCTTTGTGGCCTCCATACATATACAGTAGACCACTCAGTGATTTTTTTTAAGGGTAAATGCAATTGGCAGAGATAAAAAGCTAACGTAATGCTATAAATGAACTACATAACTGAAGCACGGCTGCGCGTCACCACTGCTAAGCTAAAGGCAGACTCATGTTGGTGCAAAAACGTTTAATCGTTTATTTAGCCACTTATTAGCAATCTCCGTTTTTACGACACAAAGAAGTGGAGTATTTACTGATGTAATTTATGTCGCAGAACAAAACATGAAAATGTCGTAATCTTGTTTTAACCACACTTTATTTCAGGCTTTACCACCACAAACACATTTTACAAAACGTTGACATGACGTTGACCGGAATTGGTAAAATGCTAAGTAATTTCCAGGTTTAAGCACCACTTAATTCAGCTGAGGAAATTAACCTATTCTGTTTTGTATTTTTGTGTATGTCTGTGAGCACAATGTATAACTGCTTTTATTGGCCGTATCACCTTCGAAAAGGGGATTTCATCATGATCACTGATTTTGACGATTATTCTGATTATTCTTGTCTGCGCTTAAGTGTGTAGATCTGGATTTAAACTGTTAGTACAATTTAACATAGCTTTGCTGACTTGTATGAATACGTTTTGTTGACAAATATGCTGTTGCTATATCTAACTTTGTGTCCAGATTTTAGAGGCGGCCTGACTGCATACAAGGAAGTTCAACAAAGAGATGCAGTGAGTCATGAAATGTATCTGCTCCCCAGGGGCTTTATGGATCTGCAACATACATGTACAGAGACTAGAAGGAAAAGGTGAGAGACTCGAGGGAAAAGACTGAGAATCGGTTTCAGTTGAGTTCTATCAGAGTATAAACTTACCACAAACACACAGTCACACTTCTTTAAACACCAGTTTTTACGGTGGCCGACAAGTGCAAACATGCACGCTACAATTGCCCAAAACACTTCCATAGGAGAAACATGCTGCACTTCCAAATTTGATGCAATTATCTTTATATTCATCTAAAGTAACAGACAGAGAATCAGCACTTTTGAAACAGGGCTGAAACAGAGGGGATTATGGGATGCTGCAATGATCTGTTTGGTATTTCGAGCCAAACACTTCAGAGACACGTTTGTATATATCTGAGAACTATAATATATTGATGAAAAACAGTATAATAGGGGACCTTTATGTAAAATGTGTGAATGTTTTCTAAATGCTGCGCAAGTCTTGTCAAGTTTGGCCCATTTGTGTTTTTTTCCCGCATTGTTTTTTAAACTGCTGCACGTTTCTCCTAATCGAAATGTTGTTGGCTGTTAAATCTGTTGTACCTGTTGGCCACCGTAAATGTGTCTGTTGCTAGCTACTGTAGCTTAAACATAAAAAAGCATTATCAAATCATGATTGCAGTCAGCCGTCTGAATGTTTACGCTGTGCTTTCCGAATAATCTAATAAATGCTTAATGAAGCTGTCATGTCATTTTATCGTACTCAACCATCTTTGCTTAATGTACATTGGTAGAGCATGACATGGAAAATAGCAAATGGAGGTTGTGTATTTCGCAAAAGTATCAGTGGTGAGCATATAGAAACACAATAGAGAAGTGCATAATGCTGCAAGAGGTAAATGCCTTATACAATCTACCTTTTAATTACATTTTAAGTGAAGACTAAAGTGTTGGCAGTATATCAACATTGTTTCAATATTTCTTAGAACAAAAGGTCCATTGGAACAGATGCTTCGAGGCACCATATGCTCCTCTCCTGTTCGATATAAGTTAACAAATCACAGTGCTGAAATGCCTGCGTATTCTTATACTCGTGCTCATACATTTGGTGTGTCCTAATTTGCCTTTGTTTCTCCTCAATGATTTGACAAATGATGCAAATTAACTGTAACAAATTCTCCACCTGTTCCAGTAAAACTATGCTTATATGGAAACTTTTTGATCGGGCATAATTAACTAAAACAAACAAACTAAATTAAATATGCAGAGGTAGCTTGTGAAAAATATGAGCAGGATTTGAGTTTTATTTCTAGGTGCCCTTGAGCAAGACACTGAATCCCACCAGACCTCTGGTTCAGGTTTGGTTGACCTGGACCTATGGCGTCCCTCCCTAGAGTCCACATGGCTAAACTTCAGCTAAAAATCCCACTTATACACATATCAACTTTGCCTACAACAGCAAATGTTTCTGCTTACCTGCAAAATGTGGAAACACAATAGGCATTTCATGTTCTGTAGTACAAAGCAGCTGAAAAAAGGCTGCGGGGTGGAAAAGTGTCAACAGAAACAATGAACAGTGAATATCACTTTACTTCATTACAGTACCTCTGCTCACTTGTTATTTACTTTGTGCCCAAAACAACATAAAATGTAATTCTGGAATTTGATTGTGCACGTTTTCCCATGTTATACTCTTTGCATCTTTATCAATGGATGATGTACATGCAAGCTTGAACCTCTTTCAAGCACCTGCAACCTTGTGGCACTTATTATTTAAGGCTTTTTCTGATTCTGCCATGGCTCGGAGTGTGCCTAATTTGTACTTCACTTTGGACAAAAGCACCTGACAAATTAGTAAATGTAAAATGTAATAGGGTCACAGAAACACTTAGTCATCTGCCCTGTTGTTCTTGTTTTTATTACTTGAAGTTGTTCAGTCCATTGTCACATGATAACTCCCCCTGAACTGCTGTCACCAAACTTACATTTGTCTTCATCCATCTGGAAGTGCTGCAGCCTAAAACTGCCTCACTTAATACTAGAATACAATTAAGCTTTGGCTTAAAAATTATGTTATGATGTATTTGTTTGCCTGTGTAGTACATGTATTCTAGGCCTCTCTAGAGTGGCTCTTCGCTTTGCCTGTCTCTCTGGAAGGCACACACCTGTAGGCCATTGTCTCATTAAGAGCTAACAGGTAGCAGACAGGATTTCACTCTTGGTGCATGATGTCCAGTGTGGAATGGAGAACAGGTATGTGTTAAAGCTGAGCTCATTTCCCCCTTATATATGTTTAAATATTTTAATGGAAAAGTTTTAAAGTTGAACTCTTAAAGCTTTTACCTAAAGTCAAGTCACACCCCCTCTCTGTGTATTGTTTAACCGGGACGGCTGCACGTCCATGTTAGCGCATGTCGCTAGTGAAGAAACACACTCCTCAATGTCAGTTTCAGTGTTTTAATGACAAAGATGACGACACCCTGAAACAGAGTAATACAGCGAGGTAAGCTGACAAAGTATTACATACATGCATGTCATCATTAACACAACACAAATATATGCTACGACACCACGTATATATACACCAACAATAGTGGGAACAGTCTTACATGTGTGAGTGGATGAACGTCTCGACACGAGGCGGAGTGAATGAACAATGTTTGAACTAAAATGGCTGCTCAGTTCTACCGGGTCAGAGCACGGCATATCCTGTGCGACAGCAGTGACACGCTGCCCTCTAGTGGCCGGCGATAAACTCTTCATCCCCCCCAGACCGGAAAGCTATAGGCTGGAATAGATTAACGGTCTAAATCCCGTATCCAGCTGCCGGACTCGGGCTCGTATCGTGCCGGCGGCTTCCTCACGCGGCCTGGCCGAGTGGGCTGGGGCAGCGCCGGCGGCGACTGCGGCACCGGGAGCGGTGCGCCCAGGAAGGCACCCGTAGGAACGGCGAGGTCAGAGGACGCCTCATCAGCAAGCGCCGGTGGGGAAGCGCCCATAGCCGAGTCGCGGGGACCATCAGCCGGCCGCTGAGCAAGCCCCTGGGGCGTCGCCCAGCCCGGGCGGATAGGTGGGGGCTGATGTCCCAGGGCAGCGGGCGGCGGCGACGGCGTGGCCGACTGCTCATGGGTGCAGGGTGTGGCCGGCGTGTAGGCACGGAGGAACCGCCGGTTGCGCAGTGTCAGACGTCCCGAACCGTCAACCCTGATCCGATACTGGTCATGGTCCAGCGACTCCACCACGATCCCTGACCTGTCCCATTTGCGGGGGCTCGGGCCTTGCTGGTTCTGGAGGAATACCCTTTCGCCGAGTGCCAATGGGCGGAGCGGTCTTGAGTGAGTCCCCAGAGACTCGGTGGTACGGGACATACGGGTCCGAAGGGCGTCCTCCTTCGCCGCCCATGCCTCGCGCCATAGCGGGCGGATATGCGGGTTCGAGAACTTCTCGAGGCGGTTCACGAAGGAGAGCGAGCCACGAAGGGGGCGGCCGAAGATGATCTGCGCCGGCGAGAGGTTGCAGTCGGGGTCAGGCGTGTTCCGCAACTGCAGCATAGCACGCAGGAAGCGGTCCTGATCAAGGCTGCCCGACGGGCCGGTGTTGGACATCAGGAGGCGCTTAGCAGTCTTAACCGCAACTTCCGCCCTCCCATTCGACTGCGGAAAGCTAACGGAGGACACACGGTGTTTGACGTGTCATAAGCGGAGGAAGTCCTCAGTGTGGCTCGCCTTGAATTCCGGACCACCGTCGCTCGAGAGCTCCTCCGGTACGCCGAAGGTAGCGAAGAACGAGCGGAGGTGTTGGACCAGGCCAGCTGAGCCCGCCAGGGCAGTACCCGCCGTAGAACTCAGGACCTCTACCCAGCCCGAAAGCCGATCCCCGACAACTAGGTAGTGGCGGCCCCCATAGTCGAAGAAGTCAGCAAACACCGCCTCGAATGGCATGGACGGGGGTGGTGACGGAAGGGGGGGTGTAGCCGCCTGTGACGGAGCATTGCGGTTGCAGTCTGCACACCCGTCCCTGGTGGCCTGAATGTCCCCGGACATCCCGGGCCAGTAAACTATGGCTCGGGCATGCTGCCCCATCGCTGAGGTCCCCTGGTGAGCGGCATGGAGATGCCGAAGGACTCTCCCACGGAGGGATGGGGGGACCACGACGCGGTCCCGATAGAGCAGGACGCCGTCCTGTGCGTAGACGGACTCACAGACCGATGACAGACTCGCCAGGGCAGGGTCGTTAACGTCAATCCCACCCTCCTGCTCGATGAGTTGGAGGAGGTGGCCGAGGCATCCGTCAGCCGCTGTCTCCCGTGCGAGGAGGGGCCAAGAGACGGCTCCGAGCTCCCATGCGTCGTCGCGGATGGAGGCCATGAGTGCTGACTCCACGGCGTCAGGCCCGCTCGGCAGCCCCAGTGAGAGGCCGTTCGCTGAGCCCGAGGGGGAAGGATGCCTTGACGTGGCATCAGCGGCATAGTTGCTCTTGCCAGGCAGATGCACAATGTCGAAGCGCCATGGGAGGGTGCGCTGCTTGAGTCTAAACAGACGCGAGTTTGTTATCTCATCCAGCGTACGGTCACGGCCAGCGTATCTTCACCAATGGCTTATGGTCGGTGACCACGACGAGGTTGTCGGACCCCTGCGTGAAGTACCGCGTCTGTTCCAGACCCCAGGCCACAGCTAGGGCCTCTCCTTCGACAGCCGCATAGCGCTGCTCCGCAGGGGACAGGAAACGCGAACCCGCGAGGGTGATCCTCCATCCTCCTGGACAGCAGTCCGGTATGCCCGAGGCACAGTGACAATGTTGCTGGAGCAGGAAGTAGCCAATGCCACGCATGGACCAGTCAGGGCGGAGGCAGGTACGCTTCTGCATGTCATAGATCTCCACGCCCTCGCGGATGGCCTCCATTATGGCTTGCTTGGACGTCTGGAAGGCCTCCTCCAGAACGGGGGACCATAGGAACACACAGCGCGGGCTGAGGAACGGCTTAAATGGGGCCATCGTGTCACGCAGCTGGGCGTAGTTAGCCACCTGGTTGACGAGGCCAAACCAACTCCTGATGTCCGTCGTGGAGCCTGGGGTGGGGAAGTCCCGGATGGCGTCCAAGTATTTCGGGAGCGATTCGATGGTAGATTCCGACACCCTGAAGCCGGCGAAGTCGACGCACCTCTCCGCGAACTGAAGCTTGTCCGGGTTCAACACGATGCCCGACCGGCCGACACGCGTCAGGAAGTCGATGGTCCTCCACCAGTGTTGCTCCAGGTCGGTGTCATAGTGGATGGTGTCATCCACACAACGTTCCTTGCGTTCATAGTCCGAGAGGACGGCGTCAAACCGACGGTTGTAGCCATCCCCTGATGACAGGAAACCCTGTGGTGCCCTGGTGTAGCGCCAACGGCCGAAGGGCGTGATGAAGGTAGTGAGGTGGCGATCCGACTCACGCAGGGGGACGCTGTGGTAGCCGTTCCAGGCATCCGTGACGGTCTTCCAGGTGCCCTTCGGGACGCGGCGTGCAAGGTGGAACGGGGACTCAGTGGCGAAGGTCTCACGTTGGCAGAACTTGTTGAGGGGGGAGAGGTCCACGGTCCTGCGGGGGGAACCGTCGTGCTTCCGAGTGACTACCATGCGATGGCACCACGCCACTGACTCGCCGTATGGTACGCGTTCAATGACCCCGAGGGCTTCGTCCCGCAGGAGGTCATCGTGGACCCTCCGCTGCCAGTGTAGAGGCACTGTAGCCGCGGTGTGGCATGCCTTAGGTGTAGCTGCGGGGTCCACGTGCATCTCGATAGGTGGCCCCTCCATGCATGGTAGTGCCCGATGGGGGCAAGTATTGAATGTCGACGAGGCATATCTCCCGAGCAGCCAACTTTTCATCCGGCTGTTGTTCTCTGGCGTACAAGGGAACGGCAGAGCTGCGGGGCGCGCCGGGGGGACCGTGCGCTGAGGACATGAGCACTGGGCGTCCTGGGGGTCACCTGGCCCCACGCAGCCGCCGTTGGTTGACCTCGTCGCATTGACGGATAAGGGCTGGTCTGGCGTGTCAGCCGTGTCAGGGCCACACCCGTCCTGGGGCCCCCCTGCAATGTCGTCCGACGGGAAGCCCACGGGCAAGAGGCCGAGGTTGAGCAACGACTCGTAGGATAGGTACATGGCCCGGACTGAGCTGCTCACGTATACCATGGAACGGCAGGATGTAACACGCCCCCCGCTGCAGGTCGTCGAGAGCCTGGCGAAGAACGCTCCCTCGATGGCTATAGGGGAGCGGTTGGCGGCCGACAGGCTGAGGCTGACGGGTCGCAAGTCGTCCCGCGCGAAACCGCAGGCCAGGAACTCCTCCAGAGACCAAAGGTCCGACTGCGCGCCAGTGTCCGCAACGGCGGATATCCGAGCTCCGTCGGCCGAGCCCCGGTTGCTGGTGCCATCCCTCAGCCCGACTGGCGAGTCCATCGAGATGGTGATCAATGCTCGGGGGTGGTCTCTCATCCTGGCTCGTCTCCATTCGCCTTTGGAGAAGATGTGGTGCTCGAGTCTGATAGGTGCAGGCTTGTTGAGACAGCCGTGCGACGTAGGGGCGCGGCGTCGGCGATGGCTCCCGTGACGTCGGCCAGGGCGGGCTCCAGCTCGCACCGACGAGACCTGGGAGACCAGCTCCGACCCCATGGCGGCATGTTGACTGTCGGATGACGGCTGTGGACGCCTCTGTCGTCGGCGGGCCCTGTAGCAGCCGATGCACACCAGGTGAGGCTTCGGATTCCACCCGCGAGGCCCCTCCGTGAAGACGTTGAAGACACTCTTACATTCCGGGCACGAGGCACGTTTAGCCCCGGCCGCAGGGCTCGGGGCGGGGCTCGTCTGTGGAGTCGTCTGCAGGCGCCGGAATGACAACATGGCTGATAGGGAGGACGACGGGAGAGCGTTACGGGCCATCTCTTTGTTCTCAACGAGTGCAATTACATCGTTAACTGGCTTGACCAGGACATCAGATGTCCCCAGCGTCTCGCGGCGTATGTCCGAGTCATAGATGCCATTGAGCAGAACATCACGGATAATGTGGTCGGTATAGTCCACGTCTTTACCACACTCGCATACCGCATTATATGCGCATGTCTCTGCTTTACCCCGCACTCTGGCAGCGAATGCGCGGAATGTCTCGTCGCGTTCCTGGCGTAACTGGAGTAGCTCGGTGCGCAGGACGCATGTAGCGACTGGGATGACAGCTAGGGAACGCATGACGGCGATCAGATCTGGCAAGGGTCCGGAAGCGGCGTCGGGGACGGCTTTCAACAGGCTGTCTCCAAGTACAGGCCCAGCGCACTGAAACAGCTGGAATGGGGCCTGGGCATTCCCTATGCCTGAGCCGGCGCGGAATACATTCCAACGGCGGATGAACACGTTCCATTCCTCTATCGATACGCCCACATCAACTTTGGGCCGATCGAGTCTCGGGCCGTGAGGGGCTGGGGCCTGGGCTGGCGCGGCCATGACAGGCGCTGCGTGCTGGTGGCTAAATCCATGAATCGTCAATAGGGCAATGACGAGTGCTTCAGATACGTCTTCGGATTTGAACTCGCAGCCGGGGGCAGGGCATCCAACAACGACCATGGTGTCGTCATGAAGAAACACACTCCTCAATGTCAGTTTCAGTGTTTTAATGACAAAGATGACGACACCCTGAAACAGAGTAATACAGCGAGGTAAGCTGACAAAGTATTACATACATGCATGTCATCATTAACACAACACAAATATATGCTACGACACCACGTATATATACACCAACAATAGTGGGAACAGTCTTACATGTGTGAGTGGATGAACGTCTCGACACGAGGCGGAGTGAATGAACAATGTTTGAACTAAAATGGCTGCTCAGTTCTACCGGGTCAGAGCACGGCATATCCTGTGCGACAGCAGTGACACGCTGCCCTCTAGTGGCCGGCGATAAACTCTTCAGCTAGCTAATGGCCACACTCTGCACTGCACTCATACGGCCTTTACTGCTGATAACTAACCTAAGTAACTGCAGCGTAGCAGAAAAGTGACGTCCATCCTCTACTACTCACACCGCAGGTTCTCTTTATACATCCAAAAAAGTCAACACTGTTAGCTGTTGTAGTTGTTAGCCCTGCTACAGTAGCTGCCAGCTAGGCCTTTACCATAGTGATAGCAGTGTGGCGGCAATGAATATGAATATCTAATTTACAAAACTTAAAGCAACATGTTGCACAGTTCATGTAGGCTTGATATAATATATTAGTTGTTGTCTTAATGCAGTGTTTCTCAAAGTGGGGGGGTGCCCCCCTGGGGGGAGCTGAGGCATGACAGGGGAGACCAGCAGGAAAAATGGTTATGACAAATCATAATTTGGAAAATTATTGATTCGAAAATAATATGATACAGTACAGTACAAGTACGTCTGGGTCTCTGTGTTTCATTAAAGCTCGGCTCTGTGTGTGTGTGGAACGAGCCATTTTGTGTGCGAGCGAGAGAGAGAGCGCACCGGTACCGGAGATCGTTGTTGTTAGCTTCTGGTGCTAGCGAGCTACGCTAACGGATATAAGGAGCTGTTTCCACAACAAGGTGGAGGAGAGTCCTCTCCTGTCAGTGAACTAAAGGACTCTCTGGGTGTTTAGATAGTTAACTTTAGTCTAAGTTATTTCAGTGGGTCTCAAACGGTTTGGTCA